TGAACAGAGAGTTTTTGACCTAAGGGCTGGTGGTGAGCACTGAACTAAGAAGACTAATGACAGTTCAAAGTGAGAGTTTAGTGTGCAAGGATTCAGGTAACAGATATAGACCAATCATGAAAAAATTGGGAGAGAATGGGGAGAATATGTCTACATTCTACATTTTAATACTATTCTTAGTAATTATACCAGCAGTGGTGGTAGTATTAGTATTGCTATTCTGAGACTGAATAATGTGAGTTCCCAGAAAGTGGTTAACACAGCAGGCCTGAGACTGCTATCCTTCTAAAGACCTGCTCACAAAGTTGGCCCTTGGCTAGAGTCTGGGAACTTGATTTCAGGAGGGTTCCCACCATTCCCTACCTGATAAGGTGGTTCACTGTGCAAACAGTGTGTTTTATGCCAAACATCTGCTTCCTTCTGGGGATCTGGAATATTGGTATGTGCTCAGCAGAGGGTGCCTAATGACTAAATCCCAATAAAAACCGAGGGCACTGAGTAATAGACTTCTCTGTAAGAAATAACACACATGGGTTGCTGCATTTCCGTTGCTGGGGCAACAGCATGCTCTGTGTGACCCCTGGTGGGAGGAAGAGACAGCATAAGGAAGCCTGTGCATGGCATCTTCCTGTGTCTTTTTCCCTTGCTGATTCTATGGCATATCCGTTCTCTGTTATAACCTTGGCTATAAATACAACTATATCCTGAGTCCTCTGAGTCCTTATAGTGAATCACTGGATATGGTGGCAGGGGTGGGACTCAATAAAACAACCCTGACTCACTGAAATGTGGCTCCAGCATTACTCAAGAAAAAGAAAGAAGCAATGATGGAAGGTGACAAAATCCTGGGGTCTGAGTGGCTATGAAGTTACCTATAGTGTTAAACAGCAACTGGGCTGTCATCTCTTGTGAAAGGTAACAGTTAAATCCCACCATAGGCAAGTTGTCTCACTGCATCTCCTGGCTGCTCTTAGCTGTGCTGGCTACAGGGAGGAAAGAGTAGCTCAGCTCATGGCTTTAGTTTTTGTTTTCTCCTCTAAGTGGGAGGAGAAAGGGCCCAAATAGTCCCCCCAGGGCTGGAGCAAGTCTTTAGGTAAACCGGAGGGGGGAGGGTTAAAAAAAGAAAACGAAAAAAACAGCCTGACTCGCTGGCTGGTGTGATTCAGTGCAGGAGGCAGCCCATAGATGATTCTCTCTCATCATAATTGTTTCTATCTCTCTCTCCCTCTCCCTTCCTCTCTGAAATCAATAAACATTAAAACAAATTAAAAAAAAACATTCTAGCCTTTTCTTCAGCTTAGCAGCGGCCTCAGCTCAGGGACAGCCCTTCCTGACTTTGCAGCTTGATCTGCTGTTCGCTGCAACGTTAACCCTGTATGTGCTGCTTTTAAGACTAAGGGATTTGATGGGGAAAGAGGTGTGTTTTGTAACAGGCTTTGTATTTTATGACTATCACACCTGAGTGTATCATCAACATTGATGTAAAATTTTATACTCGCCATTTCATCCGTGCGAGACATAGATCATGCTGACAGGGAAAGCTGCAAAGGGGGAAAAAGTGTACATGCATCAAAGCTCCCTTGCTTTTTGCTGCCCGTGGGCAGATTGCAATTTCAACTCTGGGAAAAGAACAAGACCCCATCACGAATTTTTATTATTTTATTTTTGCCTGTTGGAGCCTCTGGAAAAAGGGGGACATGAAGAAAAGAGAGTCAATCTTCAGGTAAAAAAAATGGCACTGTGGGAGGTCTGAACCCAGTGTGCTAATGTGCAATTGTTGAAATGAGGTGGTTGGCAGTAGAAGCTGCTGGTTTGGATGCTAAAATTGACAAGAAGGGCTTTTAGGAAAGCCTTTCTTATCACTTGGGCTGGGAATACAGCTGTCTGGCCCTTCCTTGTCTCAACTTTGCTGGTACTGGGAAAAAAAGCCACTGGCTTTTTAAAAACTTGTATTTTTTCAATTACATTTTACATCCAATATTCTTTTGTATTAGTTTCAGGTGTAGTGGTTAGACAATCGCATACTTTACAAACTGGTCCCCCTGATATTTCAAGTACCCACCTGGCAATGTACACAGTTATTACAATATTATTGGCTTTTTAAAAAATCCTGCATTCACAGATTCTAATTGCCAGGGCCTGACCGGAAGCTGAAACCTGACACGCTTCTGCAGCTGTTTGCAGCCTCACTGTGAGCTGTGCTCAGCTGAAATGAAAGAGCATCTATCTCAAAGAACTGGACTCGGATTCTGGAATGGTTGCCTCCTTAAGACAGCCTCCACAGGACCACAAACTACGAAAATATCACGGATGATGAGTGAACATGACATTTGAATATCATACAAATGCCTACAGGAAAGGGCCTGTATAATTGAGCTGCTGGTTGGCTTCATATTTCTGACACAGAGACTAATTGTGGTTACTGAATTGAAATCAGCAAGTTAACCAGAGGCTAACTTGTGGTTACTGTTGAACGCTGCAAGCTAGGGAAGGACATCACAGGGAGTGACCACTTCACCTACTCCCCACCGGTCAGACTCCCCACCCTTTCTTGGAGATGGCACTGCTGTTGACTTGCTATGGTCAACTTTTCAGATTACTTGTAGTTTGTACCAATGACCTGATAGCCTGACTCTACTTCCTTCACCTCTCTCTTGCTAGACACCCTTGTGCAAGACATTTGATTATTAAATGCAGCCGTCCCCAGCAAGGGATTCATTTTTTTCTAGGCTGCTCACTGGGGAAATGATTAGGACCAAAGGAATGGGAGGTTATGTAAACCCATTTTGAAAAAAAAAGGAAAGTTCAGGATTCTTCCTCATCAATTCTTGATTATGATGTGTCTTTCTGGTTACATTGTATAAAAATGTTTTGCTGGGAAAATGTTTCTTTTCTTCTTGCATACAACCCTTCCAGACAAAAAGTTTGGAGGATAATAAAATGGTTGGGAAATGTGAGGTTGTGATCACTGAGTGAGACACACTGATGTTGTAACCATGGAAAAATAATCCTATATAATAAAATCCTAATACGCTAAGTGTCCGGTCGACTGGTCGGCTGTTCAACCAATCAAAGTGTAATATGCTAATGATATGCTAAGGCCGCTCAACCGCTGGCTATGATGTGCACTGACCAACAGGGGGCAGATGCTCTGACCAGTAGGTTAGCTTGCTGCTGGGGTCCGGCCAATAGGGACTGAGTGAGAGGGGCCTGACACCCCCTAGAGCAGGGGTGGGCAAACTTTTTGACTTGAGGGCCACAATGGGTTCTTAAACTGGACCGGAGGGCTGGAACAAAAGCATGGATGGAGTGTTTGTGTGAACTAATATAAATTCAAAGTAAACATCATTACATAAAAGGGTACGGTCTTTTTTTTTTT